CCAACAATAATAACTTTTGATATTTCATGTATTTTAGCTAATGTATTACAAATCTTTGAATAACTTAAGTTTATTGAGTCTAAATTTAATAATTATCAAATAATTCTACGTCGCATGTATGAAATCAAATTTCTATATATTCAAAATATTATATTTCTTTGCGAAAACAATCGGTTTTAATTTTTATAGGTTTGGACGAAATGTATGTTGTCATTCTATTATGTATTAAATATTTTAGTTTCCATGGGTACTATATTTCTTTGGCATTTTATTCGTAAAATGTTATTATTAGCTTACAAATAAATTTTCCTACATTACCTAAAGTATTACAATCATATTCATCATATAGGTCATAATTAACAATTTGAATGATTTTACCACCCATTTTTCGAAATGTATCATTGAAAAAATGTATTATTAAATAATTATAATTCTACATTAATAACACAGTTAAATTTATTTAATTCAAAACATGGGCAAGAAGCGCGGAACCAATTNAGAAGNATGAAGAATTGTTTGCGAAAAANTTATCAAAAATAGAGAAAGAGAAACCTAACATAAAAAATCTACGAACAATAGCACTTAAAACATTTAAATTGTGTTTAGAAGTCCACTTTAAGAGAATCGGTGTAGTATAATTTGAACGAGTTAAGAAAAATGAATGTATTGGTTTTGATATTAGGAGTTATGTGCGGAGAATTATCCGTAATTGCCTTTGTGTTTGATATTTGATGATTAGAGAATCCTTTTAGTTCCTTATGTTGGATTTGCCGAGATGCATAGTTTATATAGGTCTTGCTAACTTCAATATACTTTTCCTACAAGGGTTCCTAACGCTAAATCCGGTCGAGATTCAACTGATATTGAGATATATGGAATGCAAGGAATTCCAGCCGATGTCTTAGCTGCTCACTACGAAGAAGAAGGTATGAGGTTGAAATGTTATTGTTTGTTTTGAACTGTCTTTATTTCACANGCTCTATTGTATTCTCTATTGCTTAATGCCTTTGGTACCTTTTTAACTGAAGTTATGCTTTATGCAGAGGAAGAGCCTCCAGCCAAAGTTGCAAAAATCGAAATTCCTTCTGCCCTTCTCGGTGGTGCTGTTCTGAGACCATATGGAATGNCATACCCTTGTCAACAAGTGCNTGGTCCTGTGCAACCAATGTATGTTCTTATAACACTATATCCGTTTTGATTCGGTAATTTGTAGAAATTTTTGGATGTTGTCTTGAAGGCTTCATTTGCTCTCTTTTTTCCCCCTTCCTGGTCCCAAAATATGACCTACAAGGTTCTTGGGATTGACGAAGATAGAGAACTGTACTAGAATCTCTGGTCCTAGTGAAAACTATAACAAGTGTAGCAAAATGTTATTTGCCGGTTTCTTATGTAAGGCATTGTAATATTTTCTCACTATTGATTATGTTAACTATTTTGTGACAACAGGTACTATCCCGGTCCACCTATGCNTCCTCATGGGATGACTTCATCGTCACCTACAATGTCGGTTCCTCAACCTCTGTTCTCTGTTGTGAATAGCAGCATTCCTTCTCAAGTTTCACCGTTTTCTGCTCCTCTGCCTGTTGGTGGGGCTCAGCAACCGTCTCCTCTGGATGCATTAGGATCAGTAAACCCATATCTGCCTAACAACTCTATTCCAGGTTTGATCTTAAGTTCTTAGAATCATTGACTTACATTTGATTCAGCTTTCTTGTGTCAAAATGTAATCTCTGTTTTTTTTGTTGTGTTGCAGTTGGTGGGTCTAATTCTCATTCGTATTTTGAGAAATTTAGACTGGTTGGCTTGAACGAGGCTGAAGACTCAATGGAGTGGTGGATCCAAAAGGCTATCAACTAACCATTGAGTCTTCAGCCTTGTTCAAGCCAACCAGTCTAAATTTCTCAAAATACGAATGAGAATTAGACCCACCAACTGCAACACAACAAAAAAAACAGAGATTACATTTTGACACAAGAAAGCTGAATCAAATGTAAGTCAATGATTCTAAGAACTTAAGATCAAACCTGGAATAGAGTTGTTAGGCAGATATGGGTTTACTGATCCTAATGCATCCAGAGGAGACGGTTGCTGAGCCCCACCAACAGGCAGAGGAGCAGAAAACGGTGAAACTTGAGAAGGAATGCTGCTATTCACAACAGAGAACAGAGGTTGAGGAACCGACATTGTAGGTGACGATGAAGTCATCCCATGAGGANGCATAGGTGGACCGGGATAGTACCTGTTGTCACAAAATAGTTAACATAATCAATAGTGAGAAAATATTACAATGCCTTACATAAGAAACCGGCAAATAACATTTTGCTACACTTGTTATAGTTTTCACTAGGACCAGAGATTCTAGTACAGTTCTCTATCTTCGTCAATCCCAAGAACCTTGTAGGTCATATTTTGGGACCAGGAAGGGGGAAAAAAGAGAGCAAATGAAGCCTTCAAGACAACATCCAAAAATTTCTACAAATTACCGAATCAAAACGGATATAGTGTTATAAGAACATACATTGGTTGCACAGGACCANGCACTTGTTGACAAGGGTATGNCATTCCATATGGTCTCAGAACAGCACCACCGAGAAGGGCAGAAGGAATTTCGATTTTTGCAACTTTGGCTGGAGGCTCTTCCTCTGCATAAAGCATAACTTCAGTTAAAAAGGTACCAAAGGCATTAAGCAATAGAGAATACAATAGAGCNTGTGAAATAAAGACAGTTCAAAACAAACAATAACATTTCAACCTCATACCTTCTTCTTCGTAGTGAGCAGCTAAGACATCGGCTGGAATTCCTTGCATTCCATATATCTCAATATCAGTTGAATCTCGACCGGATTTAGCGTTAGGAACCCTTGTAGGAAAAGTATATTGAAGTTAGCAAGACCTATATAAACTATGCATCTCGGCAAATCCAACATAAGGAACTAAAAGGATTCTCTAATCAGACCAAACGAAATCAGCCATGAACAGAGTTAATCTTTCCTTAAACCCCAAACGAAGCAAAGAAAACAAAAAAAGACCAAAACTTCAAATTCAATATGCAAACACATTGAACGTTACCACAATACATAAGCAAAAGAACGTTTCTTTAACAGAAATTACTCACAGAAAAGTATAAATTAGGGTTTATGACCAAACTTTCATGAAATTAACCAAATCCTTGCACGATCTAATTCAATAAAAGATTCAGAGTTTCTCAAGTTCCTCGTAAACAGACACATTCAACCGATTCAAGCCCCATAGATTAGGGCAATTAACAGAAATCGGGAAAGAAAAATCGAAACCCTAATATCAAAATTAAGAAGAAAGAAGAATCGATTCCTAATATCAAAATTAAGGAGAAAGATGATGAATTTAGGGGGTTAAAGAAAGAAAGAAAGCACATACTTTGTAACATTCTCTTCATGAACCTGAAGGACATGAATCGCCATTTCAGTAGCTGTAGAAAGCTTCTTATGACAGACATGGCACTTAAAGTGCTCAGCTTTATGATGCTCTACAAGAATCTTCTCGTCGTCGAACTCTCTCAATCGCTATCTTCTTCTTCTTACCCATCACTGTAAAACTCTTTCTTCTTCTTGTTAAAGATTCACAAATCAATTGAAAATCTCTCTCTCTCTTCTCGAGTCGATCTCTCAATTTTTGGAAAGCAAAAGCACTAACAACTACTGAGTTAGTTGTGAGTCGTTTCAGTTTTTATTATTTGTTTGAGAACTAATGAAAAATGATATTCCCTCTCTTTCAATTAAATTGAAGTTTTAAAACTTTGGAAGAATTACAGAAATAGACCAATTTTTATAGATAAATTAAACAAATAGCCCAAATCTTTTAAAATTAAAAACATAGGCTAAATAATTTGTTAAATGATGATTAAGCCATTATTACATTTAGCAACAACAGAAAAAAAAAAACGTCTTTCATGTGCAACCAATTTCGGATCTCCGATATTTGTAGAAGACTGAAATACGACTCTTGTACAAACTTATTTTATTTATCTTTTGTATGATTTGGTGATGAAGCAAATTTTCGAGAGTGTTGACCGTTGAGCAGTTTTAGGTTCTATAGGGGGCACAATGTTGACAAAAAAAAAAAAATATAGGGGGCACATCAGCAATTAACTTTGTTTGTTTTTCTTGTTTTTTGGTTAGGAAATAAATAATTTCCCAAAAAAAATGTTGATTACTTGAATAAAAAATACGAACTAAATATTTTTTGAAGGCATTTTTTTTTTTAAAATGCAATTTTTAAACTATATATTCTTTTCTGCTTCGATAAATAAATATCACTAGTAGTAGTTGGTGTCGATTACCTCTGTGTAATCTTTCCTTGGTACTATGTTTTTCTTTGCATCCGAGTTAATTAGTCTCCTAACGAATTGATTCGTCGAATTTCTAGGTTGTTTGCTGATTGTTCAGTTTTGGTTTAGTACATATGTTTACAGGTTATTTAGTTTGTGTTCATGATTTTCTCTCTCTGAATAACCTAATTAATCATCCTCATTTTGCTTTTCAGGTGAAAAAATATCAAAGTGTAATGATCCAAGTTTGAGTCCGATGGTGTTGCTTTCGAAATTTTTTGGAATCGTGTTTCAAGTCATGTCTATTCGAATTTGTACACTAATCCAATAACACCTAAGTGTTTTCCTACTAATAAGAGTATTTAATTAAGAATCACAAATTATAATCAGCTAAACTGAAAGAGAGAGAGGGAGTATGTAATTAAGAATCAGCTATTTTCTGTAACACGGTAAAGGTCCATAAACAATAAGTAAAGAAGGTTAGTTAGAAGTAAAAGAGAACAAACGAGATGCTCTCACTAGTTCGTTCTTACAGTTTCTCAAGGTTTCGGATTCTGTTTCATGGTAAAAACCTAAGTATAACCGAATGACCAAAATACAGCCATTTGAAGCTTGCTAATTAGACCAGCTCCAACAAGACACAATACTTTGAGCCTCTTACAAATACAATCACAATGACTATTTTATTATCCAAATCTATAGCTACCACATACTATTAACTAAACAAGCATACAAACTTGTAAATCTCAACTGAAATTTTGAAACAAGAAGATTGAACAACAGCTGTACGAAGAACATCAGCGTCGATTTTTCCCGGAAATTTATTCTTGGCAATCTCGAGAAGAGTAACAAGCCATATCTGGAATTGCCTGTGAAACAAAAACAAGTTAGAGAGATAAACAGAAGAAAATACTTCACATTTCACTCTTTCAAGGAATTTGTTGAAGTTTGTCTTCAGTTTCAACGCAGACAAAGAAATCTGTCACGAGTTCCTAGCTGAAGAATTGCTAGTTGTACATGATGAATGTTCTAGCAGGGTTTCAGGTCTTTTTTCATCACAGAACACATGTTGAAAAGGAAGAAACACCCTCCTACTTACCTTAACGCAAGCATGCAGAGTAAGCAAAACATCATTAACTAGAGCTGCGAGCCAGGCAGGACCAGAAAGCTCTGAGGCAATGATTGTTTTCAACGATTCATGCGGACTTTGCATCCATATCGATGCTTCATAACCACTGCCCGGACATACACAAACTCGCATGCTAATGTAGCTCCAACTACCTCCATTAACGAAGCCAACAAACTTGCAATTGTTTCAATGCAACCAGGCCCTGCAGATATAGACAACGTTCTCCATATTCCTGCAAAATTCCAACAACGACCTAAAGCTTAACTCACATTTGTAGTTTGTGACCTTTAATGGTATAATAAAACAATAAAATGGAAACAAATTTTGTAAAGACCTAAAGCTTGCATGAAATTTGATGCTACATATGAAATTAGAAAGATATTTTTAACTTGTGCATCCGCAATACATCAACTGAAATTCATGTTAGTTCAACCTGAAAAGGATACTGGCAATGTACCTTCTCGGTGAGAAAGTGTCAGAAAATGCAATTACTTGAACTGCTTCATCAATGTCCTGTAAACCCCCATAGCAAACGCAGCAGCTCTGCTCTTGCCCATTTCTTGTACCACCCTTACTTCTACATGAGTAGTGGTCTTGAGAAACTGCGAAATGATCTCTCCAACATAAAGAACAGGATCCGTTTGTCAAGTTCTTGTACAGGAAACACACTCTCTACAATCATTACATTCAAAGGAACATTCTAGCAAAGAAAAGGAATCCATAAGATGTGCAATTCTAAACACAGCCTTCCATCAGGCTAGGATTACCTCGATGTTGAGGGAAACCTTCTTCAACTGTTACCAATCTACATGTTTTTTTCTCACTGAAGCATTGAAGGTGGCTCTTTCAAGCGCGGATTGGCCGAAAAAATAATCTATTTTTTTTTAAATATCAGAAAAGAGAAGCTCCAGTTTCAAAAAACCGAAGAAGCATGTCAGAAAGGAATATTTGAGGTATAGGCAGGAAACCAGCAAAAATAGTTATCAGTTTGCTGAAAACAGGAACTGTGGTGTACCGTGCTGCATAGCACTGCAAAATGTAGAACAGAGTTTTCCCAAGTTAACATCGAGAGATACAGATACAAGGTCACAAACAGTCATTAACACAGATCCTTCCTGAATCCTGGTGGTGATCATGTTAGTTATACAGTTGCAAGTATCAATCATGTTAGTCATAGAGTGAAATGTTATCCAGAACATGGGGCAACCTGAAAGCAGACATGAAGCATAAAATCGGTGCCTATGCGAGTAACTGGGAAAACTCCTTGGATTAAACCACTTTACTGATAAGAAAAAGCAATAGTAGATAAAAGAAAGCCGGAAACTAAGGTTTTTCACCGAGAACAAAATATGAAGTACGCATGGAAAAGAAACAAAGCAACTTTTTGAACACTAGAGAGGATTGGTAGTAAGACGAACCTTATCAAGACATTGCCTGAGAACGCTACAAAGCAGGGGAAAAAGAAAGAAAGAAAACAAAGGTCCTGACCACTCGATGTTAACTCACTTAGATATTGGTTCCATAATTATTGAATCATGATTTGTCCATCAAAAGAAGATTTCTTAGGCAACAACATTAAACAAGCAGCAATAGCATAGATATATTAAAAAGATAAAGACAGTCCTAAAGACTCCAGTAACCATGGCATTCATCAGGCATCAAAGTCGCCCTGCGCATACTTGTTTTCCGGATAGTACAGAGCCACCACTTGGTTTGGTCCAAATCGGTTGCCATGAAACCGCGATCTGGCCCTTGATGCGGAAGCCAAATCCGCATACTCTAAGAAAACCTGCAAGAACAATAATAAGAAGCTGTATTAGATAATATATATATGAAGAAAAAAATAGTGTTGGGGTTGAAAGACCAAACCTTTACAGCTACTGGTGTCAGATGATGATCTAGATTGGGTCGCGGGATGACAACTTTCACCAAGTTACCAAATTGTCGACCTTGTTCTCTCAAATCCTCCATAACACTTTCGTAGTCGTCATCGTCTCTGAAATCAACATCTGCAACCGCGTTAATTAAGCAGATAATCCTGGTGCTGGTGTCACATGGTTTTAGCATATGCATCTGCTTGTTCCGACCCTCAAGCCCAACACTAGACCCTCCCTGAACAAGACAATCAAAAATTTCTTCAACATTAGAAAACCAGACATCTAACTTTAAATTATGGCTTCTGTTTCTGCAAGAACACGTTACCTGCCCAGTAGCCTTAACCGTGAGCGAAATTCCGGCCTCCTCGCATCCATAGATTTCGAATGTTTTTGCATCTTTCCCGGAAATTGGCTTCTTCATCTGCTCCTCGTCGATAATCTCAATTGCGCTCTGCATCATCGCCAGGGAAGGTCAAGGAGAATAATTATTGTTTCTTTCGGACAATCTCTCTATTTCTACTGCCAAACCAATCCCTAACTCGTCTAGGAGAATTTTCCTAATTCTCTATCAAGTGTGTTCTACTTTTTTGATAAAACCTTAACTAAGGAAAAAGAAAAATGGAACAAAAATTAAGGACAAAGGGAAATAATAAAAAAACAGAATGAGAAAAAAATAGTGATAATTGTCGGGCCTCGACCTGCGCCCAATAGACTTTGAAGGTCAAACACTTGCAGTCCGCAAATATTAAAGGCCCATCTCGAACAGTAACCACGGTCAGGTTAAGCCTGAGTCAGATTCAGTAACTACAGTTAATAAAACCTATTATGTACCCTTCAACCTAGTACTATAAATAGGAGAATAATGTGATGTGACCAGATATTTTTTTTTCATTCCTCTGAGAGAGAGTACAAGGGACCCAGAGCAGAATTGCTCAGGCCTCTAACTCCGACAGAGAGTCCACCGGAAAATCACTACCGACCGGAAAATATCACAAAGCATTCACTTACTCTTATCTACTCGCAGTTGTTTAGTAGCCCGGGACGTGTCCGGTCTACTACTTAAAGCGACCTGATAGACCGGGACCTCTATTTTGTAACATTCGTTCCGGGCTCAATTTCTAATACACGAAACTCTCCGACCTCTTCCCTATTATAATTTCATTGTTCGATCCTTTGGTTAAACAATAGGCGCGCTAGGTAGGGGGTTTGAAGATTTTCTGACGCAAAGAAATATGAGTCCGAACGCATCAATAAGTCGGCAAAACATGGAGGCATCGCAACAGGAGATCACGTACAACAAACGGGTTATCATCATCAGAATCGTTATCAACAACTTTGCGATTACGAACAGGTGGTGCATGCGGCTGCACATTAAACGCATGAAGAGAT